CACATGAGAAGAAGAACATGATTCTAAAGGATTGATGATGATCTGGGGAAAGACAAATTTATGGGTTAAAAATGAGGATAGATAAAAGATGATATCAAAGCTATCTTTTATAAACAGTTAAAGTCATGTTTCAATATTAGTTTTCCAGAAATCCCACCCCTACCCTAGTATAACATAAATCAAATTCTCTTGCAAGAAAAATCAAATCATAATGTACTGAAATAAATTTAAATATATTTTGATAAAGTAAATCACTTACATTTGTAGTTAACATTTTGATGTGTAACTTGGATCTTTGAGTTCCTTGCAAATGTATTGAAGGTTTGACTTAAATGGTATAATAATGAAATGACTGTCAGTGGTAAAAGCTATAATTAGAAAAGAAACTATGCATATATAAATAGGATGTTTATCTAGTATTTTAAAGATATATCATTCAGAATACCACACATTTAATACCAGAAAAATATTTCTTCCTTTTCAATTTAAGGATATCTATGTCCACGGATAGGAGCTCTAGTAGCCCAGTGGTTAAGCGCTCAGCTGCTAACCAAAAGGTTGGCAGTTCAAACCCACCAGCCACTCCATGTGAAAAGATGAGGCAGTCTTCTTCTGTAAGATTTACAGCACTGGCAACCCTATAGGGGAGTTTTAGTCTGTCCTATAGGATCACTATGAGTTGGAATCAATTCAGTGGCAATAGATTTTTGATTGTGCTTCCCTTAATTTGATTACCTGATTTTGATACACAGATGCATGGTGAAATGTAATAGAAATATGGAGATATACCCAAGCTAGTCATTCTTTCTCTGCAGAAACAAGACACTAGACTAATATGGTTCATGCTTGTCTCCAAGAGAAGGTGTAAACCTGCACTTGGTACTGTGATTGACAATGTATAGACCAAAACAGACAATCGAAACATCTGAGTTATGAGAAACAGTTCAATGTATTAAAAGAAGAAATAATTTAAAGAGAACAGTGATCCTATTTGACTCGATTTTATTAAATTGTCAAAAATCACTGAAAGAAATATAAATATGTCAGTATTGACTAGTCAGCAATGGGTCTGATGTGTTAACTATAATTGTGTGTGATAAACATATATATCTCTAAATTCATGTTTCTGTAAAGACATATGTAAAAGCAACCCAAAAATGTAATGTTCACTGCACACATAAATTATGAATTTAGCAAGTCTGAAAGACAGAAACTTTATGGTAGTTTAGATCTTCAAGAAAAAAATATTTTTCATACTTTTATCCAACATGAAAATTAATACACTTCTTGAAATTCTAAAGCTAAAATATTACTTTATGAACAAATCCCTTCCCTTTAATAGAAAATTGAATGTCAGCTATCAGCTGCTAGGTGATTTCAATGTTTAAAGTCCTCATTTTAAAACCTCCACTCTGTAGTAACTAAGTGAGAAAGTGAATTTCAATGTTTTTCATGATTTGGGTTGCTTTTCATGACTTGAGAAACCATATCAAACTTGGAAATTGGACAGTTTGTTGGTTCAGCTCTAATTGCACACCACCAAGTCCTACATTTTCCCAAAAGAGATCTTGACCTAAACATCTTGGCTTTGAATTCTCTTTGTCTGGAGTTAATATATGTACATTGCAGTATTTTGATACTCTTTATGTTTGCCTAATTATTTTTATGCACATACACTTTTTTAACCCCATTTATAGATTTTATTCTAATGTACTCTTTTGTACTATATATGATTCTTAAAAATTAATTAACACTATGCCTAATTTAATGAGTAGTTTAAATAATTGATCTTTATCAACAAAAATCAATATATTTATTCTGTCTGTCATCTTAATTTTTCCCTACTTTATTTGTATTATCTTTGTTTGTATATTTTTAATGGTTTTTTAAGTTATTTTTCCTATCAGTCTTGAAGATAGTCTGCATTTTTCTTTTAGTTATTTCTTCAATGCCTTCCAAGGAATAACACTTAAATTTCAATTTAATAATTCTGAAAGTCATGTACAAAGTTCGATTCATTCATCCATTTACTCAAAAAGATTTATTATCTTTTATGTAGCAGGTGTTTTGCTAGAGACATTGGAAGTATAAATATGACTATAAACTGCCCTTAAAATCAATGACTTCATTGAATTGTGGAGGATTCACATATACAAATTTTTATAGTACCACGAGGTAAATATAATAAAAGAGATTAATTCTTTCAGCAAATAGATTATTTACCTATAAACCTAGCTCTTTGTGGTTACCATATTTTAAGAGGATTTAGGGTTTACTAGGTCAGCCACTCCTCGGAAGGAAGGTTGGGCAATCCTACTTCCGTAGTGATACTGCCTCGGAAACCCAAGGAAGGGTCGCTATGAGTCGGGGCCGACTCGACGGCATATAACAACAACAACAACAACAACAGGTCAGCTCCACTGGTGCTTGTGTGGTACCCTATGTAACTCTAAGATTTGTATTTACCCATTTCTAGTATGATGGAAATTTAGGTATTTTCCTGTTTTAGACTGCTGAAAATAGTCTAAACGCTTCGATAATCATTCTAATCTATGCTTTCTGGTGAATGTACAAATATATATTTTTTGGGAATGAAAATGTTGGTATGAATATGTTTATTGACACAAGATATGACAAAAATGGTTGTTTCTGTTTACACTCCCACCAGCAGTGTATAAAAACTCTAGTTGTTCTACATCCTCTATGTCTTTAATAGTTTTGGTCTTTTTCATTTTAACTATCATGTTTGGTATGTAGTTTTGTGTTGTGAGAAAATCAATTTGCATTTATTTCCCTGATAAGTACAAAGTCAGTATCTATTTATGCTTATTGGCATTTTTATTCCTCTTTTGTGGAGCATGTTTTTAAACCCTTTACTCTTATTATATTCTTACTGATGTTCGATGAGTGATTTATATACACTGGGTATATTTTTGTTGGGGATATGCATTATGAATATTTATTTTCTATTCTGTGGCTTAGAGCCTTTGAGTAGAACAAATTGTGAATATCTTTGACTGCTAACCTAAATCTGAAAGGATCAAGTCCACCCAGGGTTGTCCCAAAAGAAAGACCATTGGGAAATCAGCCAATGAAAACCCTATCATAGTTCTACTCAGATACACATGGGGTTGCCGTGAGTTGGAATTGACTCCACAGCAACAGGTCACTCTGGTTTATTTTTCATTCTTTTTACAGTGTATTTTTGCTAAAAATTTTAATTTAATTCTATCTATGTTTTCTTTAGGAGCTCTGGTGGCATAGTGCCTAAGGCACTTGACTGCTAACCAGGAGGCTGGCGGTTCAAACCCACCAGCCACTCCTCGGAAGGAAGGTTGGGCAATCCTACTTCCGTAGTGATACTGCCTTGGAAACCCAAGGAGGGGTCGCTATGAGTCAGGGCCGACTCGAGGGCACATAACAACAACAATGTTTTCTTTATAGTTAGTACTTTTTGTGTGCTTTTTGAAATCATTGTCTACTCCAAATATCAGAGTATGTATGTTTTGCCTTTCACTTTTAGACTGCAATATTTTTCTGGAATTTCTTTTGTATATGATGTGACTTAGAGGTCAGGATGTTCCCCCACATGAACATCTAATTGACCCAGCAATAATTATCAAAATTTTTATCAATAATTTCAGTGTTTCTCTATAATCTGCAGTATTTCCTTTCTCACAAATTAGGCATGTGATCATATGTTTCAGAACTTGGTTTCTGGACTCTGTACTATTCTCTATTTTACCCATAATTTGAGTTGTAAGGAAATGACACAATTTTTAACTTAGAGATTTCTTAGAGCCATTGAGAAGTCAAAAAGTCTGGAAGAGTTTAAATGAGTTGACAAAATTAGTTGTAGAAATCAGATGTTCTGCCTAACAAATTGGTGGCATTTCTACCATCACTTGACAATGTTTCTGTGGAAAATATGATACATCATTTTCTATTTTTAGTAATTATTAGAGAAGGTAGTAAATGAAAGCCAATTGGAATGTTTGTGAAATCCGGCCATAAAGAGTTCCATTCATTCTAGTAAGTAAAAAGCTTACATACTTTTTTTGTTGGCTTGGAGCCTGCCAGCTAAATGATATTCTAGTGTTATGAACCTTTGCCATGGAGTCAATTCTGCCTCAGGGCAACCTCATAAGTTACAGAGTAGAACTGTGCTCTCCAGGGTTTTCTTGGTAACAATCCTTACAGAAGCAGTTGACTAGGCTTTTTTTCCTATGGTGCTGCTGAGTGAGTTCAATACATCAACTGAAGCACAACTTTTTCTGCCACTCAGGGGCTTAACTTGCAATCAGCTTCAATTCCTGTCTCCTACTGATTCTCATTTTACTTACCAGATGGGCAGTGAGACTACATATCACGAAGTTCATTTGTTTTTCTTTTCTTCTTCCACCCTTACTCCATGGAAGGAAGGCTCTGACTTCCACACTGTTTGATATGTTTTCCAAACATCATAGAACTAATACATAACCCTCAGTATACTTGTGATATTTTTATTATTTACTTTCCAATCAAAGCTAAGAGCTTATTCCAAGGAGAAATTTAAAGCAATCTGACAAATGCATATATACCAACATGGAACAAGGGCAAAGATGGCACATCTTTAAAAGTGAGATAACTGAATCAAGATCCTTACACTGGATTTTGAGATTCACAGGTCTATGAAAAAATAAATGATATTTCTAAAATGTTTACAACAAAGCCTGGATACAGTAAGCAAAAATAAATATCAGTTGTTAATTATTAATAAGAATAAAAACACCATCATCATTTCTATTGGGTCTGTCATGAGAACTGGGACATAGCATGTGATCAATAAAAATGTCTTGAATGATTGATGAATTAATAATACCACATAAGCATAAAACTTATTTGATGCCACTCAAAATACTTGTTTGATCATTAAAGTATATTATGGAATTAAAAACAGGAAGTGGGTAGAGACAATGATTATACCTATATTTTATCTTCTTTTCTTATTCTAGGAAAACACATACATTTTAAGCTATTTAATGATCATAAAAGTCTAATCATGTTAATATTGAACCAAACTGACTTCACACCAGCCTTATTCATTCTGAATGGAGTCCCAGGACTGGAGGACATGCACATCTGGATTTCCTTCCCATTCTGCTCTATGTATGTTGTGGCTATGGTAGGCAATTGTGGACTCCTCTATCTTATCCGTTATGAAGATTCCTTACACAGACCTATGTACTACTTCTTGGCAATGCTTTCCCTAACAGACCTTGTCATCTGCTCTAGTACAATCCCTAAGGTCCTCATCATTTTCTGGTTCCATCTCAAGGAAATTGGCTTTGATGAATGCCTGGTCCAGATGTTCTTTGTCCACACCTTCACAGGGATGGAGTCTGGGGTGCTCATGCTTATGGCCCTAGACCGCTATGTGGCCATTTGCTACCCCCTGCGTTACTCAACAATCCTCACTAATCCTGTAATTGCAAAGGTTGGGCTTGCCACCTTTCTGAGAGGTGTTATATTTGTCATTCCCTTTACTTTCCTCATCAAGCGACTACCCTATTGCAAAGGCAACGTAATTCCTCATACCTACTGTGACCACATGTCTGTGGCCAAATTATCCTGTGGAAATGTCAAGATCAATGCCATCTATGGTCTGATGGTTGCTCTCCTGATTGGGGGTTTTGACATCTTGTGCATCACAATCTCCTATACCATGATCCTCCGGGCAGTGGTCAGCCTCTCATCGGCAGATGCTCGACAGAAGGCCTTTAGCACCTGCACTGCCCACATCTGTGCCATTGTTTTCTCCTACAGTCCAGCTTTCTTCTCTTTCTTTTCCCACCGTTTTGGGGGCCACACAATTCCCCCATCTTGCCACATTATTGTGGCCAATATTTATCTGCTTCTGCCACCCACTATGAACCCTGTTGTCTATGGGGTGAAAACCAAGCAGATACGAGACAGTGTTCTACAGATTCTTTCAGGGATTAAGGACACCAAGTCCCACAGCATATGAGTGCATATTTTCAAGGCATAGGAAGAAGAATAAAAAGAGGAGGAAGGATTACTCTTGTCTGTTTAGGCAGGAGTTGAAAAATCATTTCTGGTACTACTCTTGGCCATGGCAAGAGAATGTGTTGAATAGAACATTCCCAATAAGTTTCTTGAGAATGTTAACACTACTGAAATGCCCAGTACACTATGAATTTGTCACCTTCTTGTCCCAGTGAAGAACTGTTATCATTAACCAAAGTTTCCTTGAAAACAACATAAAGGGTCAATTTTCCATTCAAAAAATGAATAAAGTTGATGAAGATGATCTAGGGTCTGATTATTATGTTCTATACTTTTTTAGGAGCTCTGGTAGCATAGTGGTTAATGACACTTGACTGCTAACCAGAAGGCTGGCAGTTAAAACCCACCAGCCACTCCTTGGAAGGAAGATGGGACAATCTACTTCCGTAGTGATACTGCCTCGGAAACCCAAGGAGGGGGTGCTATGAGTCAGGTCTGACTCAACGTCACATAACAACAACAACAACAAGACTTTTTTTTAAAGTAATGATTGTAATTTGCACATTGATCATAAGTTGTTACTTTCCTTTACAAAATATATATTATAAGGCCAGGACCTCAGACAGGTAAGAGGACATGTGGCAGCCCAGGCTATCTGGGGCAGCTTTATTTAAGGTTTGGCCTCCAGGCAGATAAGGGCAGGTGGGAAAATGAGCAGAGCAGTTGGAAAACTAAAGGAATTGAACTTGTCTGTCAGTTTGCCATCCTGTGGTGGCTTACATGTTGCTATGAGGCTGGAAACTGTGCCATCGGTGTTGCAAAATGCCAGCAGGGTTATCCCTGGTGGGAAGGTGTCAGCGGAGCTTCAGACTCAGACAAACTCAGAAGAAAGAAGAGGCTATTCACTTCTCAAACAATTAGCCGGTGAAAACCTTATGAGTAGCAGTGAAACAATGTCTGATATAGCACTGGGAATTTTTATGAATAGCCCTGAAACATTGTCTGATATAGTGCCACAAGATGAGTCCATCCAGTTGAAAGGCACTCAAAATATGACTGGGGAAGACATGACTCCTCGGAATAGAGACAATCATAATGATATGAATGGAGTAAAGCTTTCAGAACCTCCACTGGCTGATGTGGCATGGCTCAAAATGAGTAGAAAGAGCTGCAAACATTCATTGATAATGGGAACATAGAATTTGTGAAGTATGAATCTAGGAAAACTGAAATTTGTCAAAAATAAAATGAAATGCATAAAGATCGATATTCTAGGCATTAGTGAGCTGAAATGGACTGGTTTTCTCCATTTTGAATCAGAAAACCATATGATCCACTATGCCAGGAATAACAAATTGAAGAGGAATGGTGTGGCATTCATTGTCACAAAAACTGTTTCAAGATCTGTCCTGAAGTACAATGCTGTCAGACTAGTTAATACTACTATTATTCAAATCTATACACCAAACACCAAAGCCAAAGATGAGGAAATTGAAGATTTCTACCAACTTCTGCAGTCTGAGATTGACTGAACATGCAATCAAGATGTACTGATTAGCAATGGTGTCTGGAATACAAAAGTTGGAAACAAAGAAGAGTTACTGGTAGTTGGAAAATATGGCCTTGGTGATAGATATAACACTGGAGATTGCACGACAGAATTTTGCAAGGCCAATGACTTATTCATTGTAAATACCTTTTCTCAATAACATAAACAATGGCTATACATGTGGACTTCACCTGATGGAATACACAGGATTCAGATTGACTACATCTGTGGCAAAAGGCAATGGAGAAGTTCAATATCTTCAGCCAAAACAAAGCCAGGAGCTGATTGTGGAACAGACCATCAATGGCTAATATGCAAGTTGAAGTTGAAGTTGAAGACAATTAAACAAGTCCATGAGAACCAAAATATGACCTTTATAATATCCCTCCTGAATTTAGAGACCATCTGAAGAACAGATTTGATCCACTGAACACCAATGACTGAAAACCAGAGGAATTGTGGGATGACATCAAGAACATCATCTATGAAGAAAGCAAGAAGTCATTAAAAAGACAGGAAAGGAAGAAAAGACTAAAATGAATGTCAGAAGAGACTCTAAAACTTGCCCTTGAGTGGGGTGTAGTTAAAACAAATGGAAGAAATGACAAGATAAAAGAGCTGAACAGATTTCAAAGAGTAGCTCGATAAGACAAAGCCAAACATTATAATGAAATGTGCAAAGACCTGGAGTTAGAAAAACAAAAGGGAAGAACACCCTCAGCATTTTTCAAGCTGAAAAAACATGAAAAAACTTAACCTTCGAGTTGCAATATTGTAAGATTCTATGGGCAAAATAGTGAATGATGTAGGAAGCATCACAAGAAGATGGAAGGAATGTCCAGTCACTGTACCAAAAAGAATTGGTAGATGTTCATCCATTTCAGGAGTGGTGTAGGATAAAGAACCAATGGTATTAAAGAAAGAAGTCGAGGATGCACTGAAAGAATTGACAAAGAACAAGGCTCCAAGAATTGACAGAATACCCATTGAGATGTTTCAAAAATGGATGCCATGCTAGGCACTCACTCGACTATGCCAAGTGATTTGGAAGACAGCTACCTGGCCAACTGACTTGAAGAGACCCACGTTTGTACCCATTCTTTGGAAAGGTGATCCCACAGGATGTGGAAATTATAAAACAATGTCATTAATGTCACATGCAAGTAAAATCTTACTGAAGATAATGCAAAAATGGTTGCAGCAGTATATTGAGAGAGAACTTCCAGAAATGCAAGCTGAATTCAGTGGAGGACGTGGAATGAGGGATATCATTGCTGATGTCCAATGGATCTTAGCTGAAAGGAAAGAATACCAGAAAGATGTTTGTTGTTGTTGTTGTTAGGTGCCATTGAGTCGGCTGTAACTTGTAGTGACCTTATGTACAACAGAACAAAACACTGCCTGGTCCTGTGCCTGCCTCACAATCTTTATGTACATGAGCCCATCGTTGCAGCCCTTGTGTCAATCCATCTAATTGAGAGCCTTCACCTTTTTCATTGACCCTCCACTTTACCAAGCATGATATCCTTCTCCAGGGAATGGTTCCTTCTGATAACATGACCAAAGTAGGTGAGACGAAGTTTGGCCATTCTCACTTCCAAGGAGTATTCTGGCTGCACTTCCTCCAAGATAGATCTTTTAGCAGTCCATGATACTCTTAGCATTCTGCTCCAACACCACAACTCAAAAGCATCAACTCTTCTTTGGTCTTCCTTATTCATTGTCCAGCTTTCACATGTATAAGAGGCGATTGTAAATACCATAGCTTGGGTTAGGCACTTCAAGGAGACATCTTTGCTCTTCAGCACTTGGAAGAGGTGTTTTGCAGCAGACTTGGCCAATGCAATATGTCATCTGATGTCTTGACTGCTACGTCCATTGGTGTTGATTATAGAACCAAGTGATATGAAATCCTTGACAATTTCAATCTTTTCTCCATCCATCATGAAACTGTTTATTGGATCAGTTGTGAGGATTTTTGTTTTCTTAATATTGAAGTGTTATCCATACTGCAGACTGTAGTCTTTAATCTTCATCAAGTCATCCTCAACTCATCCTCACTTTCAGCAAGCAAAGTTGTGTCATCTGCATATCACAGGTTGCTAATGAGTCTTCCTCCAATCTTGATGCCATGTTCTTCTTCATATAATCCAGCTTCTTGGACTATTTGCTCAGCATAAAAATTGAATAAGTATGGTGAAAGGATACAACCCTGACACACTTCCTTCTTGATTTTAAACCATGAAATATCCCCATGGTCTTTTCGAACAACAGCCTCTTGATCTATGTATCAGTTCCTTATGAGTACAATCAAGTGTCCTGGAATTCCTATTCTTCTCAATGTTATCCATAATTTGTTATGATCTACACAATCAAATGCTTTTTCATAATCAATAAAACATAAGTAAACATCATTCTAGTATTCTTTGCTTTGAGCCAAGATCCATCTAACAACAGCTATGGCATTCTTGGTTCCACGTCCTCTTCTGAATCCATCTTGCATTTCTGGAAGCTCTCTGTCAATATTCTGCTGCAACCATGTTTGAATTACCTTCAGTAAGATTTTACTTGCATTTGATATTAATGATGTTGCTTGATAATTTCCACATTTTGTGGATCACCTTTTTTTGGAATGGGTACAAATATGGACTTTTTCTAGTCAGTTGACCAGGTAGCTGTCTTCCTAATCTCTTGGCATAGATGAGCAAGTGCCTCCAGCATAGCATCTATTTGTTGAAACATCTCAATGGGTATTCTGTCGATTCCTGGAGTCTTGTTCTTCACCAATCCTTTCAGTGCAGGTTCAATTTCTTCCTTCAGCACCATTGAGTCTTGATCATATACCACCTCCTGAAATGGATGAACATTGACCAAATTCTTTTTGGTACAGTGACTCTGTGTATTCCTTCCATCCTCTTTTGATGTATGCTGCATCATTCATTATTTTGCCCACAGAATCTTTCAGTATTGTAACTCAAGTCTTAAATTTTTTCTTCAGTTCTTTCAGCTTGAGAAATGCTGAAAGTGTTCTTCACTTTTGATTTTCTAACTCCATGTCTTTGCAAATTTCATTATAATAATTGGCTTTGTCTTGTTAAGCTACTCTTTGAAATCTGTTCACCTCTTTTATCTTATCATTTCTTCCATTTGCTTTAGCTGCTCTCCACTCAAGGGTAAGTTTCAGAGTCTCTTCGGAAATCCATTTTAGTCTCTTCTTCCTTTCCTGTCTTTTTAATGACCTCTTGCTTTCTTCATGAATAGTGTTCTTGATGTCATCCCACAGTTCCTCTGGTTTTTGGTCATTGGTGTCCAATGCATCAAACTGTTTTTTTAGATGGTCTCTAAATTCAGGAGGGATATTATCAAGGTCATATTTTGGTTTTCATGGACTCATTTTAATTGTCTTCAACTTCAACTTCAACTTCAACTTGCATATGAGCTGTTGATAGTCTAGTCCACAAT